ATATATATATATATATATATATATATATATATATATATATATATATATATACTTAATGTATAATATTATTGGCATAAAATAAATTATAATTACATTAATATATAATTAATTTTTAATATTAATGGTAATTATTCTAATAATTTTCTTTCCTTCTTTCGTGTAATTATTATGATAATTTTATGGTAATGTGTTTAAATATTGGAAGAGAACAAATATTAGAATTAATATAATTAATGAAATTATTATGGTAATTGCCACAATATTTATTAATTATAATTAATATAACTATTGAAACTAAGAAATATAAGATTTCTTTCCTAAAAATATTTGTGACAATTTCATTAAATTATAATTAATAAAATATGAAATATAATTAAAGAAATGAAAGTATAAAATTAACAAAACATGAATATTTATAATTTTACATACAATTATACACTATAATAATCCCTTTCAAAAAATACACTATAATAATCATACAATATTTAAATGTTACATTTTAAATTTCTAAATGTAATTTTTTAATTATAAATCTATCAATATAAATTATAATTATTGAAATTATAATATAGAACTTTTCTATATACATATTAATAAATATTATGTGTATATACAATGTATTATACAATCATATAAGGAAATGCGTCCGATTAGAGTTTAAATTTATTCATACAAAATTTAGAATTTACATTTTTTTTTTGATTTCTAAGTACAATTCTCTTAGTTAGTATTCATATTTTTAGAATTATAATATATATGAAATACAATTAGAAATAAATAAATTTAATTATGTGAATTTTTCAATAAATTTATCTAAATATGTACGTGATTAGAGATTATATTAGCCATACAAAATTTAAATTTAAATTTTGTATGTTATGAAAATAGATACTTGACCAAATATATAAAAGTCCAACTATATTATTATATTGTACATTATAATATTTTTTCATTGTTTTCTATTTTTAATTTTAAATTCATAAAATAAAAAAAAAAATCCGTGCAACGCACGGGTAAAACACAATCGTTATACCCTGCACCACAGCGCGCGCAGCACTGTGCGTCCCCCGCCTCCCAAAACGACGTTGTTTTGGGAGGCGCGGAAGGGAGTTGACGTGATTATGTGTATTTGTTTATATCATTATGTGTATTTATTTATACAATTATGTGTATTTTTTTTATACAGTTAGGTATTGCATCAGGGTGCACAATGCAATGCGCGCCCTGGTGCATGATATAAATTGCCGGTAAAACACTATATTTTTAAAAATACAATTTGATAAATATCATAAATTAATTAGTACAATATCATTTCTGTTTATAATAATTAAAGAAAAAATAAAAAATTCAAATATGTGAACCAATAATTTCAAAATAAAATTAATACATAGTTACAAATAAATATAGCATTATTAGATGTACTTTAATTAGTTTTAATTTTCTTAATGAAATGACTTTTCTTTATCAATTTTTTATGGGAAACTAAGGGAGTGTGTGGCCCGCTGGAAAATATTTTTAAAATAAAAACACTTACTAATAAAAAATAATTTTAAAATATGTTTTAACACCTCATAACATGTGTAAATGTTATATTTTTTAAAAATACAATTTGAAAAATATCATAAATTAATTAGTATAGTATCATTTTTGTTTATAATAATTAAAGAAAAAAATAAATAATTCAAATATGTGGTCTAATGGTACCCAGGTTGGACTTCCATTTGGAAGGTTACGAGTTCAAGCCTCAGTGGAGGCGTTATTGGTTCTTTGTGTTTCAGTAGGTTGAGAAAGTATATGAACAGATACTACAATGTAATAGAGCCAGTAACATTCAAAAAAAAAAAAAAGTTACAAATAAATATAGCATGATTATATTTAATTTAATTAGTTTTAATTTCCTTAATGAAATGGCTTTTCTTTATCCATAGTGTTTGGATTGGTGGAGAATCTATAATCTATAATATAATTAAAAACAAAATTCTATTTACTTGATTTCCCGCTCAAACAATAGTAAATAGTAAAGGTAAATTAAAAAATGAACAGAAATATTTCCCGCTCAAACAATAGTAAATAGTAAAGGTAAATTAAAAAATGAACAGAAATATTTCACAATAATTCTCTACATCATCATCAATTAAAAATGGAACAAAAATTAGGTAAATTGAAAAATAAATGAATATTAATAATTGACTGAAAATTAAAAATGAAAAAAGAAACATAAATTAGGTTAATTGGAAAAGAAAATGAATATTAATAATTGACTGAAAATAAAAAATAATCCATAATTGACTAAAATTGAAAAGAAAATTGTCAGATTATTGCATTTTAATTTTTCACAATAATATTACATAGTAGAATAAATCAAATCACAATTATATCATAAATCTTTCACAATTTTAAGCAATGGAATAGAAATTAAAAATGGAACGGAAATATTTCAATAATAATATTCTACATCATCAAGTAAAAGTAAATAAAAAATGAAAAGGAAATATTTCAATAATAATATTCTACACCATCAATAGTAAAGACATATTTTAAACAAGGTAAACTAAAAATGGAACGGAAATATTTCAATAAAAATATTCTACATCATCAATTAAAAATGGTTTGGATAGGTAAAAATATCACTGCATCTGATATTCTAATTGACTAATTGACTGAGAATAAAAAAGAATAATTGTCTAAAAATGAATCTGATATTACTAATTGACTGAAATTATAAAAGGAAATTAATATTAATAATTGACTACAAATAAAAAATGATCCATAATTGAAATGAAAAAATAAATTGACAGTTCATTGCATTTTAATTAAAAAATGGAACAGAAATTAAAAATTGGACGGAAATATTTCAATAATAATATTCTACATCATCAATAGTAAATGCATATTTTAAACAATAGTAAAAGTAAATTAAAAATACAAAGAAAATATTTCATTAAAAATATTCTACATCATCATTTAAAACTGGAACAGAAATTAGGTAAAAATATCAATGCATCTAATATTCTAATTGACTAATTGACTAAAAATAAAAAAGAATAATTGACTGAAAATGAATTTGATATTACTAATTGACTGAAATTCTACCATTATATATTTTTACCCGAGTCACCCATCCTTTTGGACTAAAGGTGTTAACTCTAGACGAAGATAGACAAGATTGTGTTGTAACTACCAATGTTGTCTACAAAGAGGTTTCAATAGTATGTAAATACAATTTGTGATATTATGTTTTTTTAAATGGCAAAATTGCTATATATCTAGACAAAAAAAATATATTTTCCATACAAATAAATTAGGATATCAATTCATTTTTATAACTGAGTTGCTAGAGAACGAGCACATTTGACTAATTTATAAAAGTACTGAACAATGATAAATAAAATCTCCAAAGTTACAGCACCGCATGCGTACATCTACATATTAGCTACTAATTTGAGCAATTAATAACATAAAAACACATAAATGATCCAAACCATACTTTCAATTGCATTATATAATATTTGATGTTCTAATTTAAATAATTATATATCGATCCAAATATTCTTAATATATTACAACAAATACATTCCGTGCATCGCACGGGCGCAAATACTAGTTTTATGTAACTAGTATTTTCACCCGTGCGATGCACGGAATGGAATTGTTGTAATATATTAAGAATATTTAAATCGATATATAATTATTTAAGAGTGAATTTCACCAGAGGTCGCTTATCTTTCCTGACAATTCCAAATTTAGTCCTAGACTATTGATGGGGTAAGGACCCCGGCCCAAGAGATAGGGGCCCAAAGAAAATGGTTCGAGATAGGAGAAGTGGGCCAGCGTTGAGAGGAGCCCGAAGAGCAATTGGGCCGAGTCCTGGAGTCGGCCCAGGCCCAAGCACGGGATCCAGTTCAGAGCTGCTAAGAGGAGCCCAGTGGGAGCTTAGGCCGAGACGAGGAGTCGACCGAGGCCCAAGCCCAGGGAAAAACTCGGTTCAAGGAGCCGTTGAGAGCATTGAAGAGGCTCGTTTAAAAGGGAGCCGTTAGGGCATTGAAAGCAGGACTCGGTCAGGCTGTTACAAGCCTGGAAGAGCCGTTGGCCGACCTAGTAATGGCGTCCAACGGCTCCATACCTTAATTAGTCTTGAAGTCGGCCATTAAAGGCCTTCAAGTCGGTAGAGGAGGAGCCGCTATATAAAGGCTCCTCCACTCTTGTAAAAGGACAGACGATTGAATACCCGGAGAGGGGAGAGTACCAAAGAGATTCCGAGCACTATCATTATTTCCAATATAGGCATACATTTTATTGAAAGGTGTATCCTCCAGCCAAAGGTTGTGTTGGACCTCCTTGGGCCCGAAAACCCAAAAACCATCAACTATAGTTTTGGGTGGATAGATCTCGAAAAAATATGCGATTTCAAAAAAAATATTTTTCCAAAACGGGCAACCGAGTCAAAAGTTATGCCTTGCCGAACTTTAGACACTTTACAACTTAAAAAATAAATAAATTAATCGCCGGTTCAGCCGGCAAGGTGGCCGCGGAGGAGGCCGATTTCGGCCTTCCTCGCCGCGGCCAGCGGCGCGATTTTTGCAACACTGATGTATAGTATAGATTACAATAGGAATTGCATTACACTATTTTATAATATTAGAATAGAATTTTAACTCAGAATTATTGTAGAAATCAATATATTTTATTAGGAAAAGAGATTTTTAAAAATTGGGCGAGAAGTTAAAATTTCAGGATTTTATTTTTATAATTAGCTTTACTAGTCCAAGTAGTAAAACGCCCAATGAAATTTATATAAAACACACCTGTATTAATGAATGGGACAACACAATATTTGAACATGCATAATGTAGTATGTAATTTTATCGTAATTATACGTCCAAGAATAAAAGAAAGAAAAATAGAATGGGAAGGAACACTGGAAAATACAAGAACTACATTCTCATTAATAAATAGAAATGGAAAACCCACATACAACTAACACTAAAATATGAAAACACTGGGATAACGACCATACATCTTATACTCCGTAATTATTATAAGTAGTATTTCATATTTAATTTTATTCAAACAAAATAAGTCTAGCTAATTGGATCAGACAATATAATATAATATTAATGGTAGCACTATAGTTTTGGCCTGGGTGTCAAGCTCCCTGCTCCCATATATATATCATCTTCTTCACCCATGGTAATCCAAGCTTCAATCCCATCCCCACATTTGGTGCTCATCAATATAATGATATTCTTGTAGAGCAAATTTGTTATGCACGCCCAAACAGGCCTTCCCCAACCGAAATCTACCTCGTATATTGGAAACCTGCACAAGCTAGTAAATTCTAAGAACTCAGCTTCCCCTTCGCCGCGGTAACATTCATGCAATTTCCGGAGATGTTCCGATTGCCCTTTCCCGTTTTGCAAAGCTTCAACGTATTCCGCGTTGATTTCCCTTATGGAAGTTCTCAGTTGAAACACCAGGTCGTCGTCTTCTGGGCTTGTTTCCGTAGTATTTGCCAGACTCCATAGGTTCCCGAACGTCACATCCGGGAGCGGCGGATTCATCCTCGCACGGAGGTTCACGTTATGGGTGGCCCGGAACGTTTTCTTCACGGAACCGTGTTGGAATTTTTTTCTGCTGGCCTCCCTGAAATTAAAGATATGTGGAAATTAGTATTTTCGAATTTCGAAGGTCTAAAAGATTGTTAGGCCATGCTTGCATGGTTCTTATTCGTGGAAATCAGAATCAAACTAAGCTTTTACCAGTAGTTCTGTTCCACACGAGATTTACGTTCTGGTTGAGCTCATCTTATGACACGTGTTATCTTTTAACAAATGTGTCACCCCAGCCAACCTGAACCCCAGCAAACTTTGGATTCAAAAAGAGAGGCAATGCCCTGCCTCTGATTCACATAATAAATAAAATAATATGTAGTGCTATTTGACTTTAGCCTTTCGGCTCCTACTTAGTGTATACCTCACAAGTCATTTCACAAAATCTGAGTCAAGCTCAATAGGCATCATACCTGAAATGCTTCCACAAGAAGGCGGAGACGGCCTCCACGCAAGTGGGGTCTCCCACTCTCGATGACTCGGCCTCCGCAGATTTCTTTAGAGCTGCCAGGTTTTCTTTGTTGAACACGACGCGCCTGGTTACCACCTTTTCCCTCGTCGCCACGCCAAGGGTCGCCGAGAATTCAGACCCGGTTAAGTCCATCGTCGTTGGCGGGAAAAGAGACGGCACCAACCCAAAATTGGGCGGCAAGATCTCGGCGGCGTCTCCTTCGCGGGCGATGAGAGCCCATGCATTGACAAAGTTGACCATAGAGAGTGCATCAGCGATCTTGTGCGACACGCAAACCCCGACGGCTATTCCGCCGTCAAGAAAATAATTTACTTGAACACCAAGCATTAAGTCACTATCATCACCGTTATGAGGCTCTACGGGAAGAAACTTTTCGATTTCCTCCATTAATGGATTTTCAACCACATCTTTGAGGGAGCCATGAACGCGAGCTTCAACCCACAGCGCGCCATCATCACTACAATCAATAAAATCGTTTCCTTTGATCCGTCCAGCTAAGGGATAAAACAGGGTCAACACCTTCGATAAAGATTGCTTCAGCAGTTGTGATGAATCTGCGGAAGCATGATTGAAGAAAAAGACGTAAGGGACTAAAAAGGGCGGCGAGGTTTGATCAATAAAGGATAGTTTGAGGGTTTTGAGGTGAGGTGGAGTTGGTGATGATGGCTTGATCATCATCTCTTTGGAAAGTAATTCCACTTTCAACACCATCTTCAAAAGTCAAAACTATGTATGATAGTGCTAACTTTCTTTAATTTGTATGGTTGATTGGTAGCTACTTTAATTTGGTGCACACAAATATATGCCGCTTTGTTGTATTGTGTTTATATAGAGTGAGTAGGGAGAATAATGATATTCGGCTATTGTAACTTTATTAATATTATAATTAAAACCCTCTTTTTTTGGATCGAGAGCACATGCAGGCACGCTAGTGGACACAGGCCAGGTGAACTAACAACAACCGATACAATAAGATTTAATTATTTTTTTTCTGTCACAATGGTTGGGGACATATTGAACAAAAAGAGTTCTTTACTGTATGAAGTTAGCACAAATTTCCCTAACTACATTTTAAATCTAGTACTTAATACAAAAATAATGTCTTCATAATTTAAAATAAAATACATTAATTGTTGAACTTAGACTATTTAAAAAAAAAAAACAAAAACAAAATTAAAAGAAAGTTTGAACTAGCAGTTTAAATTCGATCAGGAATAGTGAACCAACGGTTCAAAATCAAAACTAAATCCAAGTTATATGTACTTAAATGTGAGAATCAGAAAAAATGCGAAAAAGAACATACACAATAATTTACAAATATTGTAATTCTAGTTTTAAGCTAATGCTAGTAGTTGTTCCGATTTGAACCATCGATTCACGGTTCAGGATCCAATTTTTTCAGTTCATGATTTTAATAAAGTGAAATCCAAAAATTAGGTTCTGGTTTTGAATCATAACCATAAACTTTTGATTCTATTGTTATAGTGTACCGAAGTGTAGTCATCCCTATGTATAAGCAATAATTTGTTGGAGAATCCTCCCAAATGCTCTATCAGGTCGGGTGTGGGGGGCCCTTAGGGTTGGGGTTCAGCCTTTTGGAAGAATAATTTGTTGGAGAAGAAAAATAAATAAAATGTTTATTTTAAGGGTAGAAATGTTCATTTAATATATCAGGGGAAAAAATTGCCGGTTCTAAAATAATTGAAGGGGCTAAAGTGATTACGTGACTAATTCAGAAAAAAAATGTGCTATAATCATATAATTCCGGGGGAACCATTTTTCCTAATTTAAAATAAAATTTACAAGGCTGTGATAGGTACTCATTCGATCCGTTTCTTTAATATCTATTGGGTTCTGGTTCTGATTACTATCTCACTCCTATCCATTAATTATGTCCTAATTTAAATGGAGAATAAAAAAGTATTGACCACTAAAAGGAACAAATCACACGGATTAAGAAAACAAATTCTTTTAAAATTTTAAAAATATAAAGTTAGGGGTAAATCAGTTGTATTATAAGATGTGCATTACTATACAAAATTTGTGCATTTCTATATCGAGTGTTGTGCATCAATCACTCTCTAGTTGTGCATTCCAACACCACCAAAAATTCCTACAGTGGACATCCCAATGTCCTCCGATGCAAAGAACTAAGGGTGTGTTTGGTTGATGGGTTTTGTCCATAGGAATGAGTATGAAAGTGATTGTTATTGTTTGGTTGATAGGTTTTTAGAACACTACTATGTGTTTCGAATACCCTATCAATTGAAAAACCCATACCCAAATAAAATAAGTGTTTCATTCCCTTGTTCATTCTCAAGCACTACTATTGGTAATCATTCCTATTCCACCCTACTACCAAACATGTTAAATACGTTTACCAAAACTCATTACTATTACCAAGTATTTGATACCCATTGCGATTCCGATTCCCATGTGCGAACCAAACACACCCTAAGTGCACTAATGGAGTTAACAAAAGGCACCAATAGTGTAGGAAAATACGCAACAATGGAATGTAAAAATACACCCAAAAAAATACACAACAGACCCAAAAAAATACACCATATAACTCCCCACCCCTAATGGTGCACTTCTGAATACTGTGTGGTGCTCTTATTCATACCGAATGGTGTATTTTTTGTGATGCGTACCTAAATTATGCATTTTGTTTTGTGCATTTCCTAATTTGATGGTGTATATTTGCATAACTATTGGTGCGGCCGCATTGACGGCAAGGGAAGGTGCGGCCGCACCTGAACTCAACTATATATAAATATAAATATAAATATATATATATATATATATATATATATATATATATATATATATATATAATTTTACACGCGCATTGCGCGAATCAGTTAGTGCCCAATGTTTATTTTTAAATAAATATTTGAAAGTATATCAATACAATGTTATATAGGAGAAGTTCATACAATACAAAAAAAAAAAAAAAAAAAAAAAAAAAAAAAAAAAAAGGAATAGCGAAGGACGAATTCTGTCGCTAAATAGTAAAAATCCGCTGCTAGATTTCGTCCGTCACAAAAACCCTTGTCGCTAGAATCTAGCGACACAATTTATGTCCGTCGCAAAACAAAAAATATCCGTTGCTAAAATCAAAATAATATATAAAATCAAAAAATATCCGGAAAAAATATATACTAAAATCAAAATAATATATAAAGTTGTTTTGTAATTAAGTTGTTTTCTAACTGATTGAAATTAAGTTGTTTTGTAAAATTATCCGTTGAATAAGATAATAAGGGTAAAAACTAAAAGGACAATTTTATATATATAAAAAAAATATTTTTATAAATTTATATATTCAAATTTAAATATTGATATATATTACAATTTAAAGTTAAAAATATATATATATTTTACATTTATGATTTAGCACCGGTCAAAGTACCTATGAGATCCTTGTACTATAGCGTTTTGTTCAATTTAGTCCTTTTACCTTAATTTTGTTCAATTTAGTCCTTGTACTTTAAAAAGTGAAACAATTAAGGACAATAATTGATATTTGTGTATTTATTTTGGACATATAATATATTGGTGGTAAAAATACGTAATTTTAAATATTTATAAAATAAAATATGAGTTGACATGTAAGTATGATAACGTGACAGATAAGATGTCAACGTCATATCAGCTATTGTCCTTAATTGTTTCACTTTTTAAAATACAGGGACTAAATTAAACAAAATTAAGGTAGAATGACTAAATTGAACAAAAGACTATAGTACAGGGACCTCATATGTACTTTGACCTTTAGCATCTCATAATAGGGTAGTAATATTTGAATTTAATTTTTGTGTATTTTAAAATATGTTATGAAATATTAGAATAGATTAAATTAAAGATGAAATGTTCACTACCAACTAGCATGTAGTATAATGAGTAATGGCATCATGATTATCCTTCCTTCTACATAGTGAAATAGATGGTCATAGTTTCTTGCTTGAATTGGCCTGGTAACGATTATTAATGAAACAAGTCTTCATATCAGGAGACATTGATAACAATGGGAACAGCAGGGAGATGCAGATTGCGGCTTTGGGTTTCAAGCTCCCATGTATCATCTTCACCCATGTTAATCCAAGCTTCAATCCCATCCCCACTTTTTGTGCTCATCAATATAACAACATTCTTGTACGGAAAAGTTGTTGTGCATGCCCAAACAGGCCTTCCCCAACCGAAATCTACCTCGTATATTGGAAACCTACACCAGCTGCTAAAACTGCAGAACTCTGCTTCTCCTTTACAGAACATTTCTTGCGCTTTATGGAGATTTTCCAGATAGGCATTGCTGTTTTGCAAAGCTTTTGCGTATTCGGCGTTGATTTTTCTTATGGAAGTCCTCAGTTGAGACACTAAATCGTCGTCTTGGGTTGTCTCCGGCGACGTTACGGCTATCGCCGGTCGCCATGGGTTTCCGAAAGTCACGTCCGGGAGCGGTGGGTTCATCCTCGCGCGGAGGTTCACGGCGTGGACGGCGACGGAAGTGTGTTGGGGATTTTTACGGCTGGCGGCCGCCCTGAAATGCTTCCACAGGAAGGCGGAGAGGGCCTCCACGCGCGTGTGGCCTCCACTCGCCGCCGCGGATTTCTTCAGAGCCGCCAGTTTTTCTTTGCCGAACACCACGCGCCGGGTGACGATCTTCTCCCTCGTCATGCCCACGGACGGCGAGAATCCGGAACCGGACAGGTCCGCTGTGGTTGGCGGGAAGAGGGACGGCAGCAACCCGAAACCCGGCGGCGAGATTCCGGCGACGTCTCCTTCACGCGCGGCGACGGCCCATGCATTGACGAAGTTAACCAGAGAGAGACCATCGCCGATCTTGTGCGACATGCAAACCCCGACGGCTATTCCGCCGTCAAGAAAATAGTTTATTTGAACGGCCAGGATTAACTGCCCATCATCGCCTTTATTATAAGGCTCAACCGGAAGAAACTTGTTTAATTCCTCCATTAATGGATTCTCAACCACATCTTTGAGGAAGCCATGAACGCGAGCTTCGACCCACAGTGCGCCATCATCACTACAATCAATGAAATCATTTCCTTTGAGCCGTCCAGCTAAGGGATAAAACAGGGATAAGACCTTTGATAAAGATTGCTTTAGCTTTTGTGATGAACGGCCATGATCATCTTCTTCACCATCTGCAGCATGATGGGAGAAGAAGAAGATGAGAGGGATGAAAACCGGCGGTGAGATTTGATCAAGAAAGGATAGTTTGAGGGTTTTGAGGTGAGGTGGAGTTGGTGATGATGGCTTCATCATCATCTCTTTGGAAAGTAATTCCACTTTGAACATCATCCTCAAAACTGTATATATTTTTGGTAACTTTCTTTATATTAGTATGTATATATGGACTATAT